AGATGCTGACTCAGGCCCCCCTCCCCTCAGTCCACTGAAGCCACTCTGGCCCAAGGGTGAAACCAGCAGTGTTTTGTACCAAACCCTGAGGGTTATATGCTGGCTCAAGTTTCAGGACAGGGCTCAACCTTGGGAGAGTCTGCTGTGTGAACCTGGGTGTCCCTCGCTGTGGAAGAAAGAAAGAGAGGGCTGAGAGAACCAGACTGTCATTCATTGTGTGACTTTAGGCTCCATCCTCACCCTCTCTAGAGATCACCATCCTTGCTGCTGTGGAAGGAGGGGAGGTAGACACCATTCTCTGAAACTTCAGAAGGTGACCGTTACCTGTGGGGATCTCCTGGGCTCCCAAGAGTCAGGTCCCAGAAGCTCCACCATGCCTGGGGGCTCCCACCACTCTGAGGAAGATCACAGCCTCCAGCATCCTGGGTGCGCAGCCCTTTGAGGAGGTTGGAATCCTGGTCTTGATGGTGGGAAGGGGTCTCAGGGAACTACTGGGGGCCGGGCACCCCCACCACGGTCACATTTTTGGGGGCACAGCCTCAGGGGCTCACAGGAACAGGCTCTGACCTGGGCACACACGGCCAACCAGCCCAGGGTCTCCCTGACGCAGTACTCCTCCCAGACCAGACCTCATGAGTCATGGCCTCCCATCAGGGCTTCCTGTGCTAACAGATCCCTTCAGGCAGTCAGAGGACTTGGACTTCTCACAGGAAGATGGTACTCAACCCTATGCCAGTCTGCTTCACACAACCCCACCATCTTCTCACCAACCCGGAGGTGGCAGAATGGCTGTCTCCATTCTACAGACAAGGAAACTGAGGCTGGGAGGGAGAAGGCTGTGCAGAGGTCACCTGGTTCCGTTACACCAATCTTCCCTCTTGGCGCAACACCCAGCCCCTCCTGCAGCTAGCTCCCTATTCCCACTGGCTCTAGCTCAAAGGGAACGTGTGCTGGTCGCCACCTTGCCCTGACTCAGTTTTGCAGCTACGATTGGTTTGGAGATTTGTGACCTCAAACACCAAAGAGAAAGCCCATATGGTACCACCTAGGACCATTAAGAAAAGGGTGCATCGGGGTTAATCTTTAAGTAGGTAAAACAGAAGGGAAAATTCGCACAGCTCAGAAGGACAAGCCTGTGGGTTCCCAGCAGCCTCAGTGCTGCAGAAGGCTGCGGTTTCACGGTCCACAGCACAGCACAGAGTCAGGCTGTGGGGATGCTTCTAATCCTGCACTGCCTGGTTTGCCCAGTCTCGAATTTTCTCACTCACATCTCCCCTTCCCTGGGGGCCTCAGGGAGCCCCTGGATCGAGCATCAGCCACAGTGTGTACTGACTGACAGGACTCTGAACCAGGCACCTCCTGTACAACAGCCTTGGGGCCTGGGCCTCACCTGCACCCCCTGCCTGGGTAAGTAACTGAGTGCCACAGGACTGGGGTGCCCCATGCCCCGCTGAGAACTAAAACCCAGCTGCAGAAGTCTCAGACACTCATGAGGCTGTGGTGGCTGAGGACTGGGATGGGAGCCCCTGCTGCACCATGTCCTGTGTCCCATGTGCCCACTGAGCCGCAGCCCCCAGTGGTGTCTTTGCCTCCTGGGATGCTGTGGGGAGAAGATGACTCCAAAAATGCCCCTGGCACTAGGCCTGGGCCTACAAGTCCTCATCACTCCCACTATACAGACCTGGGAGCAAGGGGCGCACCACCTACCCTCACCCATGCATGTCTCTTTCCCAAGCACCCAGCAAGCTTTTGGCTTACCATTCCCTGTCGTCCTCTTATTGTCCCTCCAGAAAGTGGTCCTTAGCTGGTCTGAGCCCAGTTGCCTTAGGAAACAAAGGAGGATGGACAAGGGGGAGCCCAAGGTTCTGCCCCAGTAGATGAGGTCCCAATAGGGGATGGTGGGGAACTCCACAAGGGTGCTGGGAAGGGGCAGGGAACAAGGACAGCCACATCTTGCACTGAGATCTAGTCTGGAGGCTAAACACCTGGATTCAATTCAAAGCTGTATAATGGGCCAGTTACTTAGCCTCTCTGAGCCTCAGTTGCCTAGTCAGTAATTGAGAATAAAGACATCTACTTGGAAGACTGTCTATGGTTACCCCTACTCTGATTTAACACAAAGGGAAGAAATGGTCCATAGTGAATATTCAGCAAAAAGTAAACTAGATTGGGGGCCCAAGGTGCCATAGTCCTTCCCACTCTTGTTCTACATTTAGACAGGGACAGCAAAGCCCTGAGAGGCTTAGTAATTTGTCCAAATTTGCACAGGATGTGTACATCACTGCCTTTCTGGACAACTAACTCCTACATAGGACCCTGAGGTTGAAAAACCCTCCCCCAGGGAACCCTGAACCAGAGAGGCACCATCTCAGAATGACAGTGCTAAGACACAGGCAAAGACATGCCTCCTATCTTCACTGACAGATGCATAAGGGAATGAAGCATTTCCACAAATATGCCAAGCCTGTGAGGTTTGAGCTGTCCGTCTGTTTCTGGAGTATGCAAACAGGAACTGAGCAGTACTGGATACAAAGGTGGCCTCCGTGGCCTTTAACAGAAAGCCACCTTCGGCATGGCTGCCAGGCAACTCCAACCTGCTCAGTTCCCCGCCTCTCTCCTCCTACTAACACAAGCTCAGCCTCCTAGACTTAACTTTTAAGGTCTCTAGACTCAATCATCCTCTGTGTTCTCTCTGCTCGGGGAACTCCACAAAGTAGGCCCTGGACATTATTCACCAGCTCCCTAGGGCCCAACAGGGAAGAGCTCATATTTGCTGAGCAAGTAGCATGGGCCAGGCCCCCAGCAGGTGCTTTACACTGGTTACATGTGACCCCTCAGCAAGCCCTCATTAGCACTATAATTAGGCTTACTTTGCAGAGCAGCACACTAAGGTCAGAAAGATCAAGTGACCTGCTGCAAGTCACACATAACAATGGCTGAGGAAGGGACGAGATTTAGGAAGGGTGCCGAGAAGCTCCTGGCTTTTAGCCAGAGATCCCAAGAGACATCTATAGCGGGTGGGCACGCTTGATCACCCAGATGTCTCCAACTCTTGGGGAGCCCCATCCAGGCACTAAGTAAGGTGGAACCCCATGAACCAACTAACCACAACCGCAACCCCTGCACTGGAGGGGAGCTGCCCACCCCTAGCCTTCCATAACCCCAGCCCAGCCCTGCCCCTGTTCAGACACAGCCTGGTAGTTTCTGCTTGGTGCCCGCTCCAGGAAGAGTTAGGCAGTGCTCAGGCAGTCCAACCTGGTTGGGGTAGCAAACCAGGCAGAAAAGCTTGGGACAGTCTCTGTCTAATTTAGCCACATTGTGTTCACACTGCACTCTCATAGACATTTGTGCCCTTGGCAAATACCTGGAAAAGGAAATCATCAGGGTATAGGTGAATTTTTCCCCCAGTCTGATGATGGCAGAAAGCCATCATAACAGTTACCCACAACCTCCAGGGGCAGGCCACCAGCCTGGTTTCAATACTCTAGTTCTGGCACCAACCCCAAGCAGTAGCTACTGTCTTTCCCACTTTACAGAGAGGAAACTAAGGTTCCACTAGTCCAGATAGAGCACTGGACCCTGCTTAGGGCTGGTATGGACCATCTAGGGCTTTTGCAAACACAGATCTGAGGGCATGGTTGGAGAGAAGGGGAAAGATGGATACCCGTCCCAGGATCTGATGGGCCCCTTACCCACCACCTCTTACACATCCCCCCAGGGCAGCTCAGGAAGGCTTCCCTGACTTGTGAGGCTAGGTCAGACCCCAGGGCCATTTGATGTCAGGGGTGTCCTTTCTTGGTGGACCTATCTGCACAGGTCCATTTCCAGAGTGGTCTGGATGGCAGGAAGAAAAGGCACTAGCTGTCTACACTTCAGGGAGCCCAGCTCCAAAGCCCAGTTCCATCCTGATTTGCCACAAGGCACTGGGTGATCACTTTCATAGCTGTAAACTGGGGACCCAGCACTGGTCACTCAATGCTGGTGACATCAGGGAAGAGAGCATATTGAAAGAGGAGTCTGCACTTGGAACCAAGACATAGAGAGTAGGGGAGACATCCCTCCCCCAGGTACCCCGCTTTAAGGCTACACCCAGCAGAACAAGGCACCAGCACTCTGGTGAGGGAAGGCTTCTAGAATAGGGAATGGCTTTGGAAAGATCAGCTCCAAACCCTGGTATAAAAGACAATACAGCCACCCCACTTTTGGAAAGCACTTTAAAAACCCAGTCAAGAGAGTCCCCAAACTTGGCTGGATTTAGCCTTGTGGACAGATCAGCCTCAAGTCCCTTCCTCTTACAAGCTATGTGACTTTGGCTGTGCCATTTACCTTTCCTGAGCCCAAGGTTCCCAACCATAAATGGGGATCTAATTGGTTTTTACTTGTACTTACTGACCACACCCCTAGTGTCAGCTTCTAAATCTGAACTGAGGACTTTGATAGTCGGGGAGATAACAGCGAGGAAGGGCTACAGTGCGGGGAACCCCCTCCGTGGCCGCTCCAGGGCCAATGAAGGGTCATTTCCTTCCGCGTTTGGCGGCGGCTGCCAGTCACCTCTCCTGCCTCTCCGCCTAAAAGCGGCGGCGCCGGCCGCAGGGAAATCGCGGCAGGCAGGATTTCCTCTCGGGACCTGCGCTCCGAGCGCCACCCCTCCCTCGCGGGGCCCCGGCTGCACGTGCCGCTACCCGGGGCCTCGCTCCCACTGCGCAGCCTTTGCTGTTTTCTCCTTCCTGGCGCTTTCAGCTCTCCCGGTTCGCCCTTGCTCCTACTCAGCAGGGATTCCGGCGTAAGGAAGATGCTTC